ACGCCTGTCGACGACGATGAGCGTTCAGGACGACCATCGACAAGCACAACACCGGAAAACTTCGCGAAAGTGCGAGAGGCTATGGTTGCAGATCGTAGACGAACAATCCATGATTTTTGTGAAGTTTTGAAGCGGCTACGGGAGAGCATTAGGCGCAAACGTTCGGAAAAGTGGGAGACCAACAGCTGGGTTCTCCACCACGACAACGCGCCCGCCCACACATCGCTCGCTGTTAGGCAGTTTTTGGCTTCCAAAAACACGACAATGATTCCCCACCCACCCTATTCGCCTGATCTCGCCCCCGCGACTTTTTCCTGTTGCCCAAAATAAAATTTCGATTGAAAGGCCGTCGTTGTGATACAAGTGAGGAGATCCAGGCAGAATCGCTGGAGGTGCTTAAAACACTCACACTTGAAGACTTCCGGGGATGCATGGAATCATGGAAAGAACGCTGGGATATCTGTATCCATGTCCAAGGGGACTACTTCGAAGGAGACGGTGGAAACTAGGAGTTATGATAAGCATTTTTTTTAATGGCAAATTCCCTGAACTTTTGGGTAGCACCTCGTATCTCATGTAAAAATGTAAAGATTAAAATATACAAAAGTGTAATTTTGCCAGTTGTGCTCTATGGTTGCGAAACTTAGTCTCTAACCTTGAGGGAGGAACATGGATTGAGTGTTTTTGAGAACAGGGTGTTGAGGAGAAATTTTCACCTAAAAGGGAGGAAGACGGATCATGGACAAAATTGAATAATGATGAGCTTCACGACCTGTCCTCCTCACCTAATACTGTTAGAGTGATTAAATCTAGGAGGACAAGGTGTACAAGGTATTGGTTGGGTGGCCTGAAGGAAGGATACCGCTGGGAAGACTTGGACGTAGGTGGGAGGATAAATTTAAGAAGGAACTTAGGGCGTTGGAATCGATGCAACGAACTGAATGCAGTTTGCTCAGGATAGAGTTCGATGGCGGGGTTTTGTGAACACGGTGATGAATCTACGAGTACCGTGAAGAAAGTGGGCTATTCTTTGACATGCGGAGTAGAAATTCGAATTTTCAATGAATTTCCTGCAACCCAGAGTGAATGAGTGAGTGAGTGTGTGTGTGTGTGTGTGTGTGTGTGTGTGTGCAGTTCAGTTATTGTACAAAATATCTAGGTTTATGTGAAGTATGTAATAAGAAAAGTTCGTTCCTTAAGTATACACTTTTTACAATATGTATTTATTGTGTAAGGTAACTGAGGACAGTTAAAATATAAAACAAAAGGGATTTCATAGGTTACGTTTGACAATGTATTTTAATTCTTTATGTATATATAGGAGTCGGGATAGCTCAGTCAGTGTAGTGACTGGCTGCGGAATGGACGATCAGGTTCGATCCTCGACGGGGCAGAGGATATCTCCTCTCGCCTCTGCGGCCCACCCAGCCTCTTATCCAGTGGGTACCGGGATCCTTTCAAGTGGGTACAGTGCAGCCGGGGCGTGACGCTGACCACTCAACCCCTTCTAGCGCCGCAGTTGAGAATGAATAGGAGTTATACTGGCTATTGCTCCAAAACCCTTATTCGGGATCAGAGTTCCCTTGGAATTTATGTATTATTTCCCACAAATAAAAATCATCCTAACTGACATATACTTAATAATTCCAGGCTGTCCCAGTTTTGAAATGACTTTGCTTCTAATTTTTGTTTCGTGTCACAGCATCGTCGTAATACGTCGAACGTCACTTGGGCTACATGGAGTGTTAAGAAAACAAGTCTTCAAAAAAGTACTCTTTGGATTACGTTCATATTCTTCATGCCATATCATATAGGTCATTGTTGGGTCACAGGTCATTACAGCACACCTAAAATTATTAGTCATTTTTGCTACTTTGGACGTTTTTGCACTAATGCGATCCAGGTAATTGTTGCGCATCAGTGGGAAGACAGGAATTACATTATTACGAAATAATGACTTCAACGCTCCAATAGTTGCGGAAAATGCGAGACAGAGACATGGAAGTGTTCGTTGCTCACGCTAGAGCCTCATTCCTAACCTCGGTACTAGAAGGGGGTGAGAGGTCAGCGCTTTACCCCCGGGAAAGGACTGCGGTACCCATTGTACAGGAATCTGGGTGATCCCCATAGCCAGTCTTGACGCAGAGACTAGAAGGAAAACCCTCTGTACCGAACCCCGGTCATCCAGTTCCTAGTCAGTCACCATACTGACTGAGCTACCCCGGCCCCAGCGTATTACACAATTCTCTGAAAGATGTTGGACCGCAGTTCTGACTGACGCTGACCGTACATGTGCTTCAACAGATCACACTCGGCGCCGGTCGAGTGAGTGCGTCGCCTTTGTGGAGACACGGCTCGTTTCTTCACGGCGGGGCAGTTTAAAAGACGCGGCTGTAATGAGCGGCTGTGACGACAGCAAGACCAATACGACGTTGAATCGCGGTGCATGCGCGATACTTGTGACATCGGCGTCGCCGTCTTCCCACCGAACGTCAGCTGCATCAACATCGTCAGGAAGTGGTAGTCGTGGTGATGGTGGTGGCGGCAAGAGAAGTGGTTTTCGAGGAAGTGGCGGTAATAGAGTAACCATCTTCTCGTTAGCACCGCAGATTATCGTCGCAGCTGTATCTACGGCTAGCACAGCAACTGTTAATCTTATAGAGAGTCTTCAGAAGACTGCGAAGAAAAAGAAATCTGTTCCAACAGGCAACGTGGCGACATCTAAAGAAAACCACGTGACGACAGTAACATCAAGTATGGACGCGGAGCACCAGCAGCTGTCTGCACATGAGGGTGAGTTGAAGATTACATTCATATTTACGAAGGGGTTCGAAATAATAAAACTACCGTCTTACGGTTTTACAAGTCACTTTATCGTATACATTTTAATTTATAAAATGTAGCTACATTTTCCTACGAAAACTGGCTTTGACGTTGTTCAAATCAAATATATACTAATTATTCACCTGAACACACCACAAATTAAGAGAGCGAGCTTTGCTTATGAGGTAAATGTTTTGAGTCGTGAGAAGTGCTTATTTTTTCATACTAATGTAGTCATAAGTGACCGATTTTGATTAAATTTGTTAATAGAGAATTTCAAGAAAAATTGTCCAAATATTTCAGTTTTGATTTAAACTAAGTCTCTTCTTGATATAATTTCATCATAATAGGTCAATGCAGTCAAGAAGATGAAAACAGAAAGAAGTAGATGGAATTTAGACTGTACTCAACTCAGATTTGTTTTATTTTGTTAATCTATTTCTCCGTTAAAATATGACTTTAAAGAATATATTATACAAGTCAGGATTACAATAATTTTACTGTGTGTAATAACAGTGAGCAGTGAAGCCTTAGTATTGTTTATACTTTCAGTAAAGCCTTTGGGTTTATCTTCTCGCCAGTTTGAATAAGTATCAGGGTACAGTAAATAGTTGCATGATAATTTAATTTTTTATTATAAGAAATAATTAACCATAGTCATTATTATTTAGTTTACTCAAGAGTTTTACTTCCGTGGATCATCACAAAGCGAACAAATTTGATATCGGTTAGGTTTGTTTAAGCTTGCCATTTATAATCTCTTCTGCCTAACTTGTCCATTCAGTTTGGACCATATAGTTTTAGGATGTTGTATTTTTTAAAGGCAGCCTACGTACGTAAGACCAGTGCTTTTTAGGAACGTAGAGGAACAGCCGATTACTTGGAAGAACGCTCAGATTGGTCCCAATTACAGTAAAAGATCGTTTTAGTAGAATACGTCTGTAGAATTAACACCCACCGAATATAAGTTTTAGAACGTTATTTGGATTGACCTGTGTATTTTTATAGTAGCAGAAGGAGTTACGTTATAGTTTTAAAAATTGCGTTGCATCCAAATTACGTCTATTAGGGCAGTTGTCTGCGTATGTGCCTGAAAGGAACAAGTGTACGACAGCGGCTTGAAGAGTGTAAAAGTAAGTAAAGTTTGTCCCGCTATGCGCCATGTAGGCACTAGATGGGGGTGTGTGGTCAGCATCACGCCCCGGCTGGCTTTACCCCCGGGAAAGGACCCCGGTACCCATTGTGGAGGAGGCTGGGTGGGCCCCAGAGCCGGTCTGGACGCAGAGGCTAGAGGAAAAATCCTCTGCGCCCGTCGGAGATCGAACCCCGGTCGGCTTGAAGAGTGTAATATTTTCAAATTCATCCACACTGAGACTCAAAACATGGCGGAAGCACGTGGAATGATACGTTTTGTGAGATGGGCAAGAGGGCTTCTTGTAAAATGACACGAAAAAGAAATCTGCGTATTATTACGAAAGCGCTTCTAGTATACAAGCGGAACATTTATGTGAGAATTGAAACACAGTTAGACCTACTTGTCCTCTAGGTGATGTATGTTAGATTACTCGGTTATAATTTCTTTAAAACCATTTAAGATGATATTTTTTTTATAAATATTGGAAGCGAAGTTAATCTTTCTCGCAATAAATTAATGTATTGTTTATCACGAATATTTCGATTAATGTTTCACGTATAGCAAGGGGAATTTTTCGGCAAGTCAATTACTTTCACTTTTCATCACATACATGATCTGTTGACGTCTTAGTCCATAAAAACCAAAAGACATTTAAATTCTTTGCCAATGATTTTGGCAGAAAAAAATCTTTACTGCCGTTCACAGCACTGTCTTGATTTACCTGTTTCTTCGGCTACTAAAATATTTATCAGGACAAAATATACAATTTTAAACTGAATGTAAGTTAAAGAGTACTAAATATTTAGAAATTTTCTCGAGAGGTAAAATGTTAAAATTTATTTCTGAATCGCTATAAGGTAAAGCTGTTTTCATACTAAAGAGCAGTAGAGTCCGGGTTATCCGACACGGGAACAGAGGGCGATCGGGTGATAAGGAAGGGTAAATATCATCTCAATTTATAACTCAGTTTACGATATTGTTAAGTTCTGAAGAAAATACAATACACAAAAGCAACTGAGCACATAAAATGTAGATGATGCTTGGTGGGGGAGAGTGATTTATTTCGCTACGTGCTAATTGACTGTTGACAAAATGGAGCGTTCGGACATTGCGCGTGGGATAAAACTAATGAGTATCAGATAATCGGGACTCTACTGAAATAGATATACGATCGGATTTTAATAGTTCAGCGATCAACTAAATTAGATGTATCGTTGTCCAATCTATTGAATCAAAACCCGCGCTTTACCAACAAATTCTGTGTTATGAAAGTACTGGTTGTTGTACTAAATGCGTTATTATTTATTTTAAATAATGATTTGTAAGTGGATTTCGAAAAATGTTTATTCTGATGTAACAAAATTACTGAACTTGACTTTTACTGCTGAGGGAATTTTTTGTAATCTCTATTTAATATACGCCTAGCATATAAAATAAGCAAACAAACAAACTATTAACACTATAAAAAGACACTAGTGCCAATAGTGTTAATAGTTTGTTTGTTTGCTTATTTTATAATATACTACACGGTATGCAAAGTTATATAAGCCTAGCAGATGCTTTACTACATGCTACAAGGTGTATTATTTTTCAATTAATACAGTATTGTGGCAAATTTAAAAACAAAACAAGTTTTGTTCTGCAGGGATCATAACAAAGCCAAAGTGTTTTTATATAGCGGTGCTGTCATAGTCACAGAGCAATGTTTGTTTATCAGACCCGTCTCTGCTGATACTTCTTCTGCCCTACATTTTAACTGGATCTGGCTAGTCAGACAGTGTCCACATAGCGAGGGTTTATTTTTTGGCTAAGGGATAGTTAACAGTGTTCCTTTCACATCTGAATATTTAATCCGTTGGAATATTGTCTTTTTGCTACAAAGTTAACTCCGATTAGATGGTGTACTGAGCACAAATGAGAATAGTTATGTGGAACAGAAACATCTGTGGAAAATAGTACAGCTTAAGAAGTGTTATGAGGCAGTCATGGATAAATTATTACACTATTTTTATCTCAAGAGAAGAAATTATGTGAAATATGTTGGGGGAAGATGGGAGGACATAAAAGTAAAGCTGTCCCGCTATTCACCATGTAGGCGCTTGAGGGGAGTGGTAATATAGCTCCTACTCATTCTTAACCTCGACACTAGATGGGGTGACAGGTCAGCGTCACGCCCCGGCC